CGTTCTTTAATCGAACATATTCAAAGCGGCTTTTCTTGCTTTGTCTTTCGTTTTTACTCGCTAGCCTTTCTGTCTGGGTCTCGTCTCTGCACGGACATGGATGTTTCTGCTTCTAAGGATTTCAAGCCTATCCTTAAAACGAATGACTTTCTATGTGGAGTCGTGGAAGGTAAGTGGTTTTATTACTTCAGAAAGTTATACTGAGCTTTTTAAGGGTTTTATGGCAGACCATGGACATATCCTCAACGAAAGGAACTCTTTCGCAGGTTTTTTTTATAGTTATCTAATGCGGTTAGGATGAAAAGCATGCGAATGAACGCCTATTTATACGCTCCAAAAGATGATACTAAGCACAGGCAAGCTTGGCGTGAATTATATACACTACAAGAGGAACAACAAATAAAAAATTTAATTGTTGAAGCGGAGGAGCAGGGTGTCCTGTTTATCTTTGCCGTCTCTCCGGGACTAGATATATCTTATACAACCGCATCTGATGTAGATAGACTGAAGCAAAAACTTTCTCAAGTATTTATTTTGTTAGACTATTCTCAGATCTCCAAACTTGGTTGCAGAGCTTATGCTCTTCTTTTCGATGATATTGAACCACGTCTCTGTCCTCTCGACCAGGAGGTGTATGCATCACCTGCTCGGGCTCAAGCCGCACTAGCGAATGATATATACCAATACTTGTCTACTCCCGACGTGTTTTTGTTCTGTCCTACTGAATATTGTGCGAGCTGGTCAGTCCCAAATGTTGCGAGATCTAGCTATCTTGAGACCATTGGCTCAGATTTGCATGCTGGTAAGTTACAGAACGACATTTAGTTTCTTTTTTACTCAAGTTTAACACCACACTTTTTTGGTATGGCATTGAAGTATTCTTTTGCTATGTTGCTAATAGTACTTTTTACTATATTTTGATAATGCAAAAATGTCTTATTTTAACATAACTTATTTTCAGGACTTATATTTCAACCACTTCATCTATCCCTGAATTCGGGACATGCCATCTAGTTTTTTTGCCATATGATATTAGTTTTCTAAGCTGCTTAAGAATATCTAATATTATCAGAGCTTCTTAGAGTATAGGTCCTAAGAATTGGCTCACCCTCATTTTCGCAATTTGTCACCTCAAGTTATGAATTTTACTTGTCCCTGATGAGCTATAGTATGATAACAATAGGCAGATTATTGGAGATACAGGCGAGGTGTCTGTGTATGTCTAAAAATAGACGCTGAAAGTTATCACTTTGTGTTAAGATGCTGCAGAGCGAGTATGCTCATCGGCTTCGCCTTGGCAACACGACCTAGTTGTGAAAAGGGGGCCGAATCAATTACAGGCAAGTCGCGAATAATACGAATAACTCATCCCATTCAAATATCCTACTATTAAGATGATGTAAGGCCATGTACTTGGTTCCATTCCATTAACAAGATAATAAAATATTTAATAGGTACGTTTATTTCTCCGTTTTTAAATTTAATATAATTTTTGAGGTCAATAAAAATATTGAAAGCAAAGGTTTATTATTAGCAAAGCGATATAGCATAGAAAGCATTGCCACATGTTCTTTGAAGAATCGTCTGCAAAAGTTATGAGTGCAACTAAGATGACATATTTCCTTGCGAAAATATTACTTCATGTTATCGTACAAATGTATCATTGTAATACTTTATTTATAAGTGGGGCCTTAAAACTTCGTGAAGTTTGTGTATGACTTACAATATTTCATGCCGTTGAGTCATATTTCACCATCGCCAATTTTATAATTGGTATCATTAAACTTATGTTCTAATGTAAATATGAATCGCCTACTTCCATTTCCGATATTTATTTTAGCATTCACCGTCTACTAAGATGTTATAATTTTTAATATACTTCTCTGTACACATAAAACTGCGTGTCGCTACCAGTTTATACCCTTGTATAAGGGGCAACGCTCTAGTTACGCTGCCCTGAAATCTTGAGCACTTAGTTTTAATTCGTATTAT